GTGTAGGGAGAAAGGACAGAAGGAGAGAGACATTTAAATGCTAAAATGTAAATGCTAAGAGGTGAGAAAGACAGACCTCATAGGGAAGAAAGGTAAGAAAGAGAGATTTCATATTAAAGGAATCTCTAGCATGGAAGATGAAGCAATTTTTCATGCCCTAAGCACTATAGCTTAGGACAAAACACACAGAGCAGCTTAGAGTGCAGTGGGGCTCAGAAGCAAGCATCCATCTGCTCAGAAAGAATGTGTGCTGCAGGCTTGCTAAGCTCACACACACAAAAATAAACAAAAAGCAGTTTATTTTTTTAAATAAATAATCAGTCACAAGTACAAAAACTGTGACTGTTCATAAGGTGCATGCCTTGTGAAGGGCTCTTTAACAACTCTGCACAGGGATCGTTTTTGACTGAAACGGAGAGGGTGAAGATCATGAGTGTATTCCTTCTCACTTGGTTAATGTGGATAAAGACATCTCTTTCACAACTCTATAGCCTCTAACAGTTTAGGGATGGTTAGCCACACACCTTATAAAAATAATCTGGTCTTGACATAGCAACCCTTTTTTTTTTTCTCTTCCCTCTGTCCTCTTTTACTGGTATATACCAGGCTAGCTTCTCAACTGGTGCTTATCATCATACCTGTGCTAATACCAAACATGCTGTGCCAGTTTACAACCTTCTGAAGATCTGATCCCTCTCTGATATCCTGGAAACAGATCTGTGGTCTCTGCAGAAAGTAATATTCTTTTACACACACACAGATGTAGGCGTCTTGCCCGCACTAGCTCATATTTAACTCTCATTTCATCTCGTTTATTTTGTCTTCCTGGTATCAAAGCAACCTGCACACCCACCAACAAGCTTGTAGCAAATAGGTGCATTTTATTTTCAGTGGATGATCCTTCACAGGGCACATACTACACCCCAAAGGGAATCATGAAGAGGGCCAGGTCAGAGCCTCTACCATTTTAATTTCAGTCTGTGTCTTAGAGGAATTATGCTCAAAGGTGTCAGTACCATGTCTCTCTGCTTCCCTAGAGATGATGAAAAGCTGTGCACTCTCTTTCC